CACTCATAGCCCTCAATTTTGATGCCATAGTTGATATGGTCTGCCTTGGGGCATAGCTTAGTGGTGAAAGCCTGAGTGTGGTTGTGATGGTCGGCAAATGCCTGAGTTCGAACTCTGCAAGGGGTAAGATTTTGAGAAATAAGCAAACACTCAGATCACTACGCCACTGAGGGAGGGCCCTTACCTCCTCTCACAAGCTCTCCAAGGTAGGGGACGTGAGGGCCCTTAGGTTTGGGGTTCGCTTATAGTTGATATGGTCTTAATTTTGACAGCAGTTTGTAGTTTGGCCTTGTATTGCCACACATTCATTTATACTCCGTATAAAATTTGATTTAATTTATATTTAAAAAAAAAACTGTAGACAGAAGGTTTTAAATGTTAATCTAAATGTACTTGATGCTTTGGATGATTTGCCAACAGAATGCAAAAAGCATGTTCTATACGTATAGGAAATTGCATTTTATAAAATATACCTGGGCCCCTAGGTAGCATATATATAAGGAATGTTAGGTTTATTCTTATGACTTTCTATGTCATGAAATAAAATTACATGGAATGGGTTATTCATAAAATTTTAGTACTCGTTAGCCGCCAATAATGTCATATTGGAGTTGGACAATTTAAACTAAAGCTCAAATTTTTACAAAGCATCTATTGATTATTCATGGACATTGGAATCATTGGAAGAACATGAGAACATTTTAATTTGTCACGTTAGCATATTAGCGAGTCATGTAGCTCATGTCATAGCACGGGGTTTTAAGTTTCCAAGCTGGTTCGAGGGAGTGGAATTTCACCCTACTCAACTATATTTATAATATTATTACTATTTAATGACACTTCATTTTTTCCTTTAAAAAAACATAAGCATAATATTTATTTATACATAAAAATTAAATTAATATAAAATAAATATAAATAATACATATACACGTGTTTATTTGTATTTTGGATATAGATACTTATTATATATTTATTTTATATTTCTTTAACGAGCAAATATCAATTTTGGTCCCACGAGTATTAGCAAAATGACAATTTTGGTCCACATGTTTAATTTTTACCAATTTTCATCAACGACTATTGTTTTAGTACCAATTTTCATCCATAACTATTGTTTTAGTGCCAAAATTCATCACGTCGGTCACTCATTCGTTTAAGGCATGCCGAAATATGAAATTATTAATGGTAGTTTCGTGCTTTTCAAATTAGGAACCCTATTTGAGCATGAATAAAGGGATTTAAGTCCTAAGATCTATCCCAATTCGTAGTTTTTTTCCTCAAATTAAAGTAGGATGAAAAGGAGAACTGCGAATTGAGATCGATCTTAGGGTTTAAAATTAATTTATTTATGCTCAAATTGGAATCTTAAGTTGAAAAAGGACGAAAATGCCTTTAAAATTTTTAGATTTCGGGACGTCTTAAATAAATAGTAAAATAGGTGATCGATGTGATGAATTTTGGTACTAAAATAATAGTCGTGGATTAAAATTGATACTAAAACAGTAGTCGTGGATGAAAATTGGTAGAAATTAAACATGTGGACCAAAACCGTCATTTTACCAATACTTGTGGGACCAAAATTGGTATTTGCTCTTTCTTTAACTGACCAAATGTTTAAATACAATTCCTTATATAATTATGTGGAACAACTTTTTTATACTATTTCTTCTTTATTCCATTTATTTTTATTCTGTGAAGTAATATTAGTATTTTGATTTGAGTAAGAGTGTGTTTGGTTAATCGGTAAACCAAGAATGGGAATTAAAATAATAGTTATTATTTAGCTGATAATTTTTTAATATACAACTATGAGATTTGATTACCTTCAATTAAAAATCACATTTCCTAATTAAAAATGGGTATCATTTCTCTTATCCCTCTTCATCTGTCACCTCTAATCAGTCGCCTCCTCACTACATCCTCATATTTTTGTATTGATTTTTTTTGTTCATATTGGTACTTTAGATGTTCATCACAGTAGAATCAATATTTTTAAAACCTTTATTCTCATTATATGCTCATACATAACCAAACATCAATATTGGTAATTATTTAAATTTCTTCCTACTTTCACCAAAACCTGTTGGTTTTATGACATTTGGGCAGTCAACGACTGACCAACATTACTTGATAGGGATTATTCTCAACCGTATCGTAGCGTGTACATGATCGATACCAGGTTTATCCATCGAGTGCTGAATCCGAGCATGACCGACCTTTTCTACGTGCTTACCCGATCTAGATCTCTGATCAAGTATAATTTCACTAGCCAGCGGAGCCTAATACTCGTTACTCTACCCCGACCATATTAGGTCGAGATTAAGCATCCGACCTGTGATACTTAGAGCCTTAGGCATAGTTTTCTCAATCAAATTCAATAGCGGTGGGTCCGATGGAATTAGGAATCTCTAAACATGTGAAGGGATCAGTTAGGTCTCTAACCTTACCTTGTGCATGCGTTCCACGTGTCACACATGCCGAGAGATCGGCATTTTTGTAGTGCGTGGGGGGGGGGGGGGGGGGGGGGGGGAGAACTTTTGGCATTTTCTAACTTCTGACCCACTGTCATGTAACCCAAGCCTAATTACTTAAACCAACAAGCAGATTAGAGCAGGATCTTTGTACGATCCGACCCCTGGCCTATACTTCACATATATGTAGGAATCACCGTATTTACTACATTAATTACCGTTAAATAGGAAAAATAAAGAAAATATATGGAGAGAATATATTATGTATTTTGTATTTATGAATATTGCTTTGAGTGGGGGTGGGGGGGGGGGGGGGGCGTGTTTATACATATTTTGGGCCTAGAGCCCTACAAGGAATAAGAATTCTAGACTACCTTATATTCGGAGTCTTTGTTGCATTTGGAATAATAAACCCTAATCATACTACATTAGAAATAAGAGGAAATTTCAATTTTGGTCCTATGACTATAGGAGTCTTATTAATTTCAGTCCATGACTTTTAAAAGTGTCAATTTAGTACATTAACTATGTAATTTTTATCAATTTTGGTCACTCCGGCCAAATTACTGGCCAAATTTTGCCGGAAAATTTTAATTGTTAAAATAATAAGGGTATTTTGATCATTTCACGTCTCTTTTCTTCTTCCCAGGCGAGTCCATCCCTTCCTCTCCCGTTTCTGACGAATGAAATGAACTAAGATGATGGGGAAAGGATGCTTGATGATATTAAAGATACGATTTATAGGGAGAAAGAACGCCGGAAACGGGAGAGAAAGGGATGAACTCGCCGGAGAAGAAGAAAAGAGGCGTGAAACGACCAAAATACTCTTATTATTTTAATTATTAAAATTTTTCGGCGAAATTTGGCCGACAATTTGGCCAAAGTGACCAAAATTGACAAAAATTACATAGTTAAGATACTAAATTAACACTTTTGAAAGTCAGGGACTAAAATTAACAAGACCCATATAGTCATATGACCAAAATTGAAATTTCTTCTTAGAAATAATTAGTCCAATCCTTATTACATTACGAATACTAAGCCCAATCCTTATTAAACTCTTAAATTGCTCGGTACTGTGTATCCTTTTTAGGCTTCCTGATCCAGTTACTTTCTAGGGCCGGTCCATGTGGCCTAAGCCCTGTATACCATCCATAAAAATTAAAAATCCATTACTATTACCAAGTAGGGGTGGACATTTCCGTATTCGGTTCGGTTTCGGTTTGTCCGGTTCTAAAAAAATGAAACCATTCGGTTTAACATTGTAGTCCAGCTCGGTTTCGTTTCAGTTTGAAAAAGTTCAGTTTCGGTTCTAAAAAAATGAAACCATTCGGTTTAACATTGTAGTCCAGCTCGGTTTCGTTTCGGTTTGAAAAGTTCAGTTTCGGTTCTAAAAAAATGAAACCATTCGGTTTAACATTGTAGTCCAGCTCGGTTTCGTTTCGGTTTGAAAAAGTTCAGAATTGGTTCAATTCAGTTTAAGATTCTCAATTCACAACATTTCATAGTGTTCTAGCGCAATTAATTAATTAATTAATTATTTATTTATTTTTACTAATAATTTAGGATTAAAAATCCATTCAGCATCCATTCAGTTCAATCAAGCTCATTTAATGAGACTTTTATTAGTTACGGAGTATTTATATAGTGTAGCAAACTTTTTTGTTCAAATCTAAATCAGCCAGTAAAATTAGAAATAACTGAAATAGAAGGGAAAATGAAATCACCTAAACGAATAATATATGACCATAATCATGAACAACAGTGTTTCACTTCTATATGTAATATTTTAACTTCGAGTGTCATAAGTCACATTTCACAAATATACAACAAAAATTTGAATTTATTTTTTTTAATGCATTAATTATGGTTAACGCCTAAATTTAACGTAGAGGAAAAGGCTCATATACATATAACATATGCAAGCACTCGGTTCAATTTGGTTTTTTTTTTATCGAACAATTCGATTCGGTTTGATTTTTTACCAAACAGTTCGGTTCGATTTGATTTTTTACCAAATAGTTCGGTTCGATTTGGTTTTTTATCGAATAAGAACACATTACCTTTCGATTGTTCGGCATATTACCAAATCGAACTAGCTCGGTTCGATTCAAGAAATTCGAATCGAATTGCCCACCCTTATTATCAAGTATTTGATTACCATTCCAATTTCAATTCTCATGTGCGAATCAAACTCATTAAGTCTTCCTAAATTCATGACTTATTATTATTAATTCTTATATAATTTTATTTAATAAAAGTTAGATTTAGAAAATCAGTTTTTTATTTTTTATTTTTTATTTTTACGTGGAAACTTGTCAAAAGGGCATTTGAATGGAGGGTACGATAGTAATTTCAAGGGGGAAAAAATGGTAGGAAAGTGGGTAAAGAAAAGGAATAAACAGCCAAACAGGGGTTGAAGTGTCAAATTGTTGTGACTTTATGGGTGTAAAGTGGATTTCTATTTGGCTCATAATATCATTTCTGCGAACCGTACTTTGATATTTATATTTTCCCAAAAAACAAAAATAATGCAAAATAAAAATAAAAATAAAAATAAAAGCGAAAATCATCATCTATTCAAGCACAATCTGAGCCTCAACGCTAAGATGCGCTGGGCTCTCGCTGTCACCTCCACTCCCACAACCACCGCCATTGCCGCCACCGCTACCTCCTTCTCTTCTTCTTCTTCTTCTTCTTCTTCGATTTAGGTTGTGCTTTGCCGCTCCGTTTCTTATCTGCGGGCGCTACTTGTCGAATCATATTGTTCTATTTCTGGAATGGCGGGTTTCAGGAATCTGGGAGCTGGATTTGCTCTGTTGACCATAATCGGGAGGCTAACTTTCGCTCAGGACCTCATGCCCTCGCCTGCCGCTGTCTGTCCCTTGCGGAATTCGGTCGAACACTCGATCTTGGGCCTCCGAGATTTCACATGTCCAGTGGATGAGATCAAACCTTCATATGCCGCAGCTGTAATTGAGGTTAAATAATTTCAATCTCCACTCTTATATTTTTTATTTTTGAAGTGTTTTTTTTTTTTTTTTTTTAAAAATTTTTTTATTTAAATAAATATGATTATCTGTACTTAGGTATTTTTTTGTTCGAGACCTTTAATATTTTAGGACGGAATTAGGTGAAAAGTTTTTTTTTTTTAAATAAATTATTTTTTGAAGTTTTAACTAGGTATGCCTTCTTAGTAATTAATGACTATTGTCTTTTTTGTTTTCAATGATATGTTGACTTGGTTTGTAACCTAAAAAAAATGAAGTCAGATGAGATTACTGCTTACAAATTGAAATAAAAATAAGAATTTCTAGATAATGTTTGTACTGTTTGGAAAGTTTTAAAAGTTCAATTCTGCATTGAAGTCTTGAAGAACAGAATCAAAGCTTTACATAATTACATGTTCAGAGTGATTGATGCACAAATTTATCATGGTTGGTTGGGTGTTGGCAAATGATAGGGGATAGGTTGGCTTAATTTTGAAATTCATTGCATTTATCATGCCCCGAAGTCCAAAGACCTACATTACAATGTATGCTGCCAAGTGCCAACTGTGTTTTTTGTCAATCAAAGATCACTACTTGTGCGATATCTTACATTTCCATCTAATTGAATACTATTCTTTTGTTGGAGTTATGCATCCTTTGTAACTTAAGATTGGACTGTTCTACTTCTTTAATTTGTTAATGACTCATCATAACTGAATACATACTATCATCACAGTGTGATGTAGAAGTAATTATTGACTTTATTATGTTCTACAATTATCAACTTTGACAACATTAATGGTTTGTGCACTTCAATATTTCACAGCTCACACACTCTCCATTATATGTAGCTTATATCCAGGTTATTATGTATGTGAAAAACCCAGTAAAATCTAACCATTAGATAGTACTCACCAACTTTCCAAGAAAGAGACAATGTATATTTTGCTTGAAATAGCTCCATTTAACTATTCAATGCCTTTTAACGATCTTTGTTATGAATATAATAATAAAACTGCTTCATTTTCTTGCTGCGCTTTTCCTTCTCAATAGTCAATAGTATCAGGATCCTTAATTAACTTTATTAGGTCACAAGAAAAATGAATATATGTGTGTGTGTGTGTGTGTGTGAATATACAATATAGTTTTGATTTTTTAAAAATTCATAAGTGTGAAAAGCACATTCCCAACTGAAAATTGTAGTGACAGAACTACAACAGGTTTTCTAATAGTGAACAAAAATGCTGTTGCAAAATCAATTCAGAAATTCTTTTTTAGACCAACTAGCAGATTAAATTAACCTGAGGCCTTCCACTTCAGAAATGAACCCTTGTGCTCTCAAATTTTTACTTCCGTCTTCCCCTTTTTCAGTTATTAACCCCTCAACATTTTGGTCTCTTCTATGCGTTTCTGCTAAATCTGTTAGCCAAATGTTAAAATTGTGTCAACAAGAATGCTTAATAGTTTTTGAAGAAAAAGTTCAATGCTAGTAGTTCTGATTGATTCATTGATCTTTAAATAACCGAATATTCCAGCCTCTCCAATGGTCTTAATGAACCTATCATACTGTTACTGTACTCAATATTCAGATCCCCTTTCAACTGCCAAAGTGTTTTTTTTAAAGGTGAGTTTCTAGTGGAGGATTCAGATTCATACTATAGTATGATTTCAAATAACTAGACCCTATAAGTCAAAATTGTATTTCTACTGTTCAAGCCCCATGTAGGTGCATAATTCAGTTTGTTAATTTAGCTTTGAAATGAACTTTCGGGCACATCTTCCATTTGCCCAACAGACATTAGCTGAAGAGCCTGGATATAGCTATGTCGGAATTTTTTTCAGTGGGTGAAGTTTGACTTTTGATAACAGATAGTTACGTATCCTTGATATGTTTCTCCCTTTTGAGAATGTTGAATTTCAACTTAAGTCATGTTAGAGAAAATAAATCAAAATTCTCTTTGTTTTAGTTTTAAACTCTCAGTGGGAGTATGCTGATTCTTCAAACTAAAAAGACTGAAAAATAGTTCTTACAGCTGGTGTGGAAGAATAAGAAAAACATAAAATGATGGATATAGAAAATTCATGTAGCTGACACCAAATGATGGCATGGGATTGAGGTAAGCTCAGTATGGCTTAGGATCAGGGAGGAGAACTTCAAGCTATTATCTGACCAATTCAATTTTCGCCGGGGTTAAATTTGAATTTTTTAGATATAAGAAAATTGTTGCATCCAAGAACAGTTCTAGTGTAATCCATCTTTGAACTTTTTATTATCAGAGGCCTGGGTGGAGTAAATATGGGACAAACAATGGCCACTAAGCCACTTAGCAATTATTTTTACTTCTCTACATATTAGATTAAATGAGTTGAAAATTAAAACCACAGTGGAAATATGGAATGATCATTTTTTTGCTTCAGTTTGAAATTTTTGAGTGCGAGCAGTGGAATGTTTACAATTTTTGAATTTATATTGCTGTGAATAAAATGTACTGTGCAACTGATTTCCCTCTGTCAATGTTATAGGATCTTTTCTTTTATTTATTTATTTTTAACCTTTTATTTTCATTTCTTTAGAAATTCTAATGGAGTTTCACATTTTTGCTGTGAAGGGAGATGAGATGTCATTGCAGAGGGCACTTTATATGATTCACCGAAGATCACATAACTATGTTGTTTTCCTCTTCTATGCCTCATGGTGTCCATTCTCCATAACTTTTAGACCAATCTTTTCTGTGCTGTCTTCCCTGTTCCCCTCAATTCCCCACTTTGCAATTGAAGAGTCAGCTATTAAGCCAAGGTTAGGGCACCCATAATATTTGCAGTTATTGTCAGTCTGTACTACATCTTAACAGGTAGGAACCTAACACTGAATTTTGCAGTACTCTCTCAAAGTATGGAGTTCATGGGCTCCCTACTTTGTTCATTCTGAATTCTACAATGCGTGTTCAATATCATGGCCCCAGGACCCTTGATTCTCTAATCACTTTCTATAATGGAGTTACTGGTAAGAGGTTTTCTTTTTAAAACTGTTGTGCTACAGATGCACTTGATTGAGGATGTTAACCTCCTTTAAAACTATCTTTACATGCTTTCTCGAAGTTTTATTCTTTTCTATGCTTTTGTCGCTTTTCATTAGCCAGAATAGTCCTTTATGTCCCTTATTTTATTTATTTATGTATTTTATGTATTTTATTCCATGGAAAGGTGTTAAGACATCAACAGAGGATGGCATATCTCTAGACAAGATTGGATGTTCTACAAGCCACGATGGGTATAGTGGCAGTGAACAGGAAAGTTGCCCATTCTCCTGGGCGAGGTCTCCTGAGAACTTACTTCGGCAGGAGACATACTTGATGTTGGCAACTGTATTTGTTCTTATGAGATTGCTCTATGCTCTTTTCCCATATATTCGTAGGTTTGCTCAATTTGCTTATAGGAGCTACAATATGAGGATAAGTAGCTTGTGGGAGCATCCTCTGCTCTACATGCATCGGGGATTACAATTATTTAATTCTCTGAAGGAACCATGCAAGAGAAGCAATTTGCAGGAAGGAGCTATGAATGCCAAGGTATGGGCTTCCAAGTCTTTAGCTTCTGTTTCATTCGGTGAGGCAAGCTCAAGTCGGGTGGGACCAGTAAGTTCAACTCATTGATTAATTTGGGGGTTAAATTTAAACTACATATTTCTTTTAGAAATATTCAGCTACCTCCCTTTGGGTTTGTTTCATTGTGAGGGGAACAACGAAAATTTAATATTTGGCTGTTGAAGCAACATAATTGACTCTTTTGTTGTAGATTAGTTATGCTTTCCATTTTTTGCTCACTATTGAAAGAATAGTGTTAACCTATTGTATATAACATTTAGCTAATAAGCTAAATTTTTGAATTTAGATATCTGTTGCACTCTGTGTCATTCATTTTAATCATCTTAGATAGGCTTTATGATAAACAATTTTGGTACTAATCGCAGATATGAAATCTCTCTTCCAAACCCAAAATAACACTCATATAACGTAGCACAAAGTCTGTTACAAGTGATTAATAAGTATAAATAAGATTAATTGAGGTGGAGAACTATGAAAGAGTGAATCAAAAGAAATATACCAAAAGTCAATTCAATATACAATTTACTCCTTTTATTGCACATCTACACCATAGAGTGAAATATAACATGACTTTTATCCCTGTTTGGTAAAATAGTTAGCCTATAGGCCAATTTTGGCTTATTTGACCACTATTAACTCTTTGACTTGGTTAAAAAATCAATATAAGTGTTTGGTTAATTAACTTTTTGTAACTCCGAAATGCTAAAATTCAAAAAACTACTCAAAGCAACTTTTTCAATTAGCTTTTTGAGAAAAGAAATTATACCAAACAGCTATCGGCTAACAACTAATTTACCAAACACCTTTCTACAATCAGCTAATGTTATCAACTAGTTATACCCTCTAATTAACCCAATCAGCTAACAGCTAACCGCCATTTACCAAACAGGGCCAAGAGATTGCAGTTTTCATTTAGGTTAACTTCAGCTGCCTTGTCTATTAGCTTTGAAGATATAGCTGTGTAGGTGTAGCTCTGAGTTTTTATTAAGGTGAACTAACAAACTGAAAGTTGCAAAAAGAAAATCCAACAACTTGCTCTGTATTCCGTTGCACTCTTTACCTCTAGGCATTTTATTGATGTAGGATGGGGTTAATTGCCTGAGATAGAAGGGGTGTTATGTCAAGTTAATGATGCAAGCAAACCAATCTGCTTCTTTGCAACTGCAGTGAAACTGAGCAAATTATGTACATTTCAATAGCCCAAATTTTAATTATTATTGGTTTAGAGCAAAAAGGTGCCTCCTGCAGTGTTGAGGAAACCAAATCTTCTGAATGATTAAGTTAAGGGTTGCCATCTTCCCTAAAGGCTAATCTGCAAATGGTGGTCAACTTGGGGAACATCTGCAGGTAAATCCATCAACAGGTTGTTTGCATCTACATTTTTTATGATTTTTTTTTTTTTTTTTTTTTTTTTTTTTTTTTTTTTTAAATAACAAACAAACAAACAACTAGTAGATTAGTGTTTTCAAGCACAATCATAAAGTTATTAGTTGTATATGTTATGCAATCTTCCTTGGCTTTCTTTAAAACCTTGATTTGACAATACCCAGACTTATAGTATCTGGGAGCTAGGACTAGCATACAGAATTGGCCTAAAATTGAGTTAAGATTACTTGCAAATGTGCAATATGCATAGAATTATGATTTCAGGTCCTTTTGTCTTTGTACTGTCATCTATCTATCTATCTACACATGAAAAAATGTGATGCATTCCGGGTGGTTATGTTTGTAGAAACAAATTAATAGAGAAGCTGTAATTAGGGATGGCAACAGGGCGCGAGCGGGGATATAGTTCCCGTCCCCGCGACTCCGACCTAGTCCTCGTCTTCGGTGAGGAATTGGAAATATTCTCCATTCTCGTCCCAGTGGGGAATTAGGCGGGGACAAAGATTCTTTTCCCAGTCAACTCTTAGTCAAAGTGTTAAATTATTGTAATTTTTAATAATAGTGAGGAAAATCAACATTTTGGTCCCTAAATTGTTTCGGGTGGGGTAGATGTGGCCAGCAAATAAATTAAAATGTTGAATGATGTGGTCGGGAAGTTAGATAGGGACCCGACCATACGAGGTCGGGAGGCTCCGAGTGGAGTGGTGTAGGTCTTGTTACAAGCAAAATCCCTGCGTGCAAGGAGGCTTGTTGCAGGGGTCATATCTTGTCAACGATAAGGTAAAAGCTCCAATCTTTATGAGGTGCGTGACATAACACAGCAAAGAGGTTGCTCTGGAATCCAACTGGCACTTTCGAAGCCGTGTTGCATATGTGGTTTGGTCTGCAGGATGTGTGATGATCCACAGAGCGGCATCTCCAGCTTGATTGGCGAGCGAAGATAGTACTCAACATAGCAGTATGGCTAGAGTAGTTGCTAGGAGGAAAAATATACTTAAAATCAAAATGGTTGTCAGCAAAACTTACTTTGTAAGCCTACCATGCATGGACTTCCATCACAAGCTTGTGGATTGACAGATTTCACATGGATTTCAAGCGCCTTCAAGAATGATGTGTAACTTTTATAAATATAGCTTGACCAGTTTTGGGTAGATCAGTCTTCATTCTGAGTGTTCTCTGAATAAGCCATAAGGTTGAACATGAATAATATCTAGGTTACATAATGAGAAACGTACTTACTGAATTTCTCAATTGAATCAGCAAATGGGAGGTGTAGCTCGCACTCCTTGGTGTAAGTTGGTTTACTCGTATAACGAGTGGCACATTTTTGAAGTTTGGTCTGAATGAATCGCAACTTGGCGTAAAGTGCAGCTATGGAAGTATTCACAATGATAGGTACTATTTGTAACTTCAGCATCAGCTTCTGCAAAAGACATTTGTTATGAGTGATATAACTTGCGCTTCAGATAAGCAGTCATCACGGATGTGAAAGCTTGGTGCAGGTTCTCTACATGAATATCATAGTAAACTTGTGGAAACCTCTAGGCAACAGGAGGCGCATAACCAAGCACATTAACGCCAAGTAGCTTCGAGACGTATTGAGGATTGAAAGTTAATGATAACTTTTCAAAATTACGGGGAAGTAGCTTAGTAGCGACTACATTAGCAATGGTTTAATCACGATCCTTTTTGCTACTCAAGGCAACGGAACTTGCCTTGGAAGACGGGACGAGAGCTCGAGAGTTGTCTACTTCAGAACGAGGACGTTTCAAAGCGCGCTCAGAGCCTCTACCAGACATGGTTGTATGCAAAGTTAAGATAATAAACATACCGATTTACTAATTAGAGTACGTGTCTTAAAAATCAATAACAGAGTCATGTAAGACACAGTAAGTGTAGTTCATGAGGTGTGGAATAATAAAACGCACACTTTTAAATTGCGCTTCTAATGATTGGTCATTGTCCAGGGCTCTCTTGCTAGAAGTGTGCGTTTTATTCTTATCCACACCTCATGAACTACACCTACTGTCTCTTACAAGACTCTGTTATTGGGTTTAAGACAGGTACTCTGATTAGTAAATCGGTGTGTTTATTATCTTACCTCTGCATACAACCTTGTCTGGTATAAACTCTAAGCGCGCTTTGAAACGTCCTCGTTCTGAAGTAGACAACTCTCGGGCCCTCGTCCCGTCCTCCAATGCAAGTTATATTGCCTCGAATAGCAGAAATGATCGTGATCAAACCATGGAGGGTGCTGATGTAGTCGCTAATCAACTACTTCTTCGTGACTTTGAAAGTTTATCATTAACTGTTAATCCTCAGTACGTCTCCAAGCTACTTGGAGTTAATGTGCTTGGTTATGCACCTCCGATTGTCCAGAGGTTGCCACAAGTACGCTACTATGATATTAATGTAGCCTGCCCCAAGCTTTCACATCTTTGATGAATGCTTATTTGAAGCGTAAGTTATATCAATCGTATCAATCGCAACAAATGTCTTTTGCAGAAGCTGATACTGAAGTTACACCAAGGAGTGTGAGCTACCCCTCTCATTTGCTTATGCAATTGAGAATTTCGATAAGTACGTTCTTCATGATGGTAACCTAGAATATTATTCATGTTCCAATGTATTCAGAGAACATTCAGTATGAAGGCCCATCCACTCAAAATTGGTCGAGCTAAATTTATGAAAGTTACGTCCCATTTTTCGAGACGCTTGGAAATCTTGTGAAATATGTCAATCCACAAGTTTGTGATGGAAGTCCATAGTCGACTTATAAAAAGTGTTGCTGATAATCATTTTGATTTCAAGTGTACACAAGTTTGTGATGGAAGTCCATAGTCGACTTATAAAAAAAGTGTTGCTGATAATCATTTTGATTTCAAGTGTATTTTTAATTTACTCCTATGCTGGCTGCTATCTTCGTTCAAACAAATTAAGCTGGAGATGTCACTCTGCTGACCATCTCACATCCTGCAGACCAAACCACATATGCAACACGGCTTCGAGAAGCGCCAATTAGATTTTAGAGCAATCTCTTTGCTGCGTTGTGTTAAGCACTTCATGATGAGTGGAGCTCTTACCTGATCGTTGACAAGATGTGATTCTTGCAACAGATTTCCTTGCATGGAGGAATTTTTGCTTGTAACAAGACTTACACTATTCCACTCCGATCTTCCTGACCTAGTATGGTCGGCAGGGCCGTATTTTAAATTTTGGTGGCCCTGTTCTGGTAAATAAATGTGGCCCTACCAAAATCACAATTTTTAAAATCAATACATGCAAGTTTCGAACCTTTGACCTCCAAGTTAAAATACAATAAATATATATTTTTACCATCTCTTCATAGAACCTTTTAAGTTTAATTGAAAACTCTTAATTTTTATTTCTAAACTAGCTAGGTAAAAATTAAATATTGGACCTATAAAATTTGGGGCCCCTCTAAAATTGGGGGCCCTGTGCGGTAGCCCAGCTTGCACAGCCTAAAATCCGGCCCTGATGGTCGGGTCACTATCTAACGACCACATCATTCAACATTTTAATTTATTTCTGGGTCACATTTACCCGATCCGAAATTATTTACTCTAGATGCATGACCATATACATAATCCATGCGGCATGAATTGCATATGAAACTGTTGACCACCACAATTCGAATAAAAAGTTCAACTTGTTATGCGATGCATGATCAGAAGAAAAATCGACTCGGTTCAGGTCAATGAGCCCGAAGAGAAAGTTCAGGCTTCGGAGCTTGGTGAACACCGGGAACTAAGGCCCCCTTCATGTATTGAGGTTGTTTCATAAGATCAACGGGGCATTTGGTATGGAGCAGTTTTATGATCATCCCGCAGAGAGTCGTCAATTTTATTTATTTATTTTTGGGTATCAGTTTCCGTCGA